CAGATGCATTAGAATAATATAGCTACTAGCTAACAATGGTTATATTTATTATACTATACTACGCCTGTCTTATTTGCATCTGAGCTAACTTACCTGAACTCACTCTATCAAATGTCCAGTCTGCATCCTTCTTATGGTTACTAAAACCCATCTCACCCTCACTTTCATCTGCAGGAATAGCCAGTTCTGTCCTTTTCTACTTTATATTACCATAGAACATGGTGGTGCTCGCTAATACACTGTTCCCTGTATTGATATATATTCAAAAGTAGTATTGCCATTAAAACTAGATTTTATCCATAATGAAAATGCCATTAACATATGAATAATCAACATTATATTTTTACCATTCATGTTGTTATTGCTACAACTTAAAAGTTCACAGCTCACCTTGCTAGCTCGCTAACCCATTGCAGTATTTTTTATTTTTATTTTTATTTTTATTTTTTTTTGGAGGTTCAGAACTTTATTCAGGCTTCCAGAAAGGCACTAAACTCAAAATGAAGGAGGATAGACGAGTCTGAGGAGGAAAATACACATGGTGGTACAAATGAAACATTCCAGATACACACAACACAACGGCACTCCATTGCAGTATTGCGTGTTCCACTAATGTACAGTGTTGCCATTTGGTAACACACATTTGATCGATTTACAAAAAACTAATTTGGTTTAAAAAGTTTTGAGTTGTGAATATGTCATCATAACTTACTGGAGGTGATGTTTCAGGTTTTTTTGTGGATCTGACATAATTTGATCCTTTGTTTTTATTGACGTTTACATTTGCATTTAGCAACTACTCACAATAAATGCCAGTCTGTAAGAAATTGTCCTACAGAAAAACACAGCATGTCATGTGACTTAACCAAAGCACATCATTGGCTACTCTAAGGTCTTCTCTTTCCAACAAAAAAAAAAAAAAAAAAAAAATGTTGGTCTTAAAGAAACAGTGGCAGGGAAATGAACATGCGTATCATGTTACCATATGGTTACGCCGTGCAGTAGAGGGTTAATCACCAGAACGTTCATTTATTAATGTTCACTCATCTTCAGTCATGATTAGTCTCACACAATAGAGCTGAAGATCTTTGCCTGAACCTGACAGGACTCGGTGGGACCCAATGGGTTCGGGTAAATTCTGGCTAATTTTTATCATTTTAGACGGGGTCGGGCCAGTCTTGGGCTTGCATGGTAAATGAACAGTCATTGTGATGCATTTCGATTAGCGCGAGAAAGTAATCAAATCGTTTGTTACAACATTAAAATCCATCCCTGCAAAGGTGAAACAAATGATGACGGAGAAGTCAAAAAGTGTGAATTTTGACTGCGGTCAAAAAAGCCGTCAATCAAAATGTTTTTTGTCAGCCTTGGGCCGAATTCTGTTGGGCTCGGCCCTACCAGGCCTAACGTTTATGGCCCTATTACAGCTCTACCACACACACCTGCATACTGCAAGCATTTGAACGGAAAGGCACGTTCAAGCTCTTCATGTTTGGTATTGTTTCGTGTCGAAGCCGATGCGAACAGGAAAAAGATCCGGACAAATGAGTCTAATCTTTTTTTTTATCTATATTTTTAAACAAGGTGCACTTTCAGATTTAAACATCCCCTGTATGTTTTCATTCACCTAGAGCTGTGTTGCACGCTGCACGAAAGGTAATTTTCAAAAACCTATAATAGGGGCTCTTTAAGAAATGTGCCTATCAACTTGCTGAATCTATGACATTTAAGGTAGTAGTGACACTAATTGATATTAGCAAGTTAGTAAGTGCACTTCATTGTTACAGTCGGTAAACTCTATCAACAGAATGTAAAACAAACAGTAAGAGTGCTTAAAGGTTTTGTACTTGTGTGGCCTTTCAGTATTCCAAAATACAAATGCAGAAGACATGTTATTAACAAAAACACAAAAGACAAACGATCTCTCAAAACACATAAACTCACAGCTGTTGGGCCAGTTTACTTGGCTCGTTTCACTGAACACATAAACAGGCACATCTGACGATAAAATGGGGCACGGATAAATATGCAGAGCCAGAAATTCAGACGTAAACATCCAGACTCAAATACAAACCAAAAATGAGAGCAGATACATTCTCATATCCGTTTGCAAATCTGCACGCAGACAGTAGGGGGGCTCCATTAACGGGTCTGAGATGGATCCATCAATGTGTCCAACAAACAGTTTCATTACTATTGCATGCAATTTGATTAATAAATCATTCATTTTGAGGATCATGGTCATTACTGAAGAACGGTTGTTGAGGTGTTATGTGATTCAGCATTCAGGATGTAAGTCTCAAACACTCATCTGCCATCGTTCAGGATGGGTGAATCACCGTCTTTAATCACCTCAACGGTTTCCATGGGGATGTGAAAGTACATTTGAGTGCTTGTCACTTTATGCACGTAAACTTGGTGACTATGCAACCACAAGTGGACAAAATAAAAAAATAAAAAAGGTTGACTTAAGATGCTGGTTTGTAGATAGTCTAGCTGGTGAAGCTGGTTAATAAGAACCTGATGAGATAGAAAGCTTGATAAATGCAAATTTGATGATGTGTAACATTCTTATCTACTAATAAGAGTCAATTATAGTGTAGTTTCAGTTTGATTGAAATGTTTTACTAAATTTAAATCTATTGTAGAGAATGTCATGTCCAAAATCAGTGCAGACATGTATGGGAATGTGGATAAATCTTTTAGAAAATTACATTACATCTTTCTTTCTTTCTTTCTTTCTTTCTTTCTTTCCTCCCTTCCTTCTTTCCTTTTTCTCATGGTCCTTTATAAAATGAATTATTTTTAATAGGGATGTTCTAAATATTAAGACCATATCGGTCTACTTTTCATTCAGTCATTATTGGGTATTTACTTTTTTAAATTTTACCTTATATATCTTGGATTTATATTTTCATACTTAAAGAATAGTTCATTCAAATGTGAAACTGTCTGCACTATTTACCCACACTCAAGTGGTTTCAAACCTTTTTGTTTTTTGATTCCTCTTGATTGCTAAAGAAAATAGCTTGAAGTAAGCTGAAAAAATGTAACCATTGAAAGCTGAAACTGTATTTATACATACAGACTATGCTGACAAACTCTCAATTTTAGGTAAAAGCATCTGTCATGTTCTCAATTAGTCAGTTAAAGTGGAAGTGAAGCAGTCAGTTCAGTTTACATTATTTTGCTAAATGATTTCCACTTAAATTAATATATATATATATATATATAACAAACTCGATTAATTTAACAATTTTGATTATTTTGATATTTTAGTGCAAGGGGCACCATCTTGGGATATTTGCTGTGTCTGATGTCACGGGTTGGTTCCCTGAGCTAAACAGACACAGTGACAGTAATGGACTGACCACGGAGACTGCAAAGCTTAATTTATCCCAATGTGTCAGGTTGTGGATGTGGAGCTGGAGCTAATACAAGCATCAAAGTTGTGTCTATTATAAAAAAACTACATTTATTCATTTTTTTTTATTATTATTACCAATCGTTTGATGTGCTTTCGCTAACTTCAACAAGGTCCAGTGCTTAATGTAATGGCGCGGGTACTTTAACTTTTCACTACTATAGCCCTCACCTCTGTTTTTTTTTTTTTTTTACATTGCAGGTTTTTACTTTCTTCATAAAGAATGTTGAGAGATCAATAATATGTCTCAACATAATCCACACAGATGTGACTTATTAAAGCATGAAGTCATGTGTTTTAATTGTTTAATTGGACCAAAGTACATCAAACTAATGCTATTTAAAAATAAAATCGAAAACATATAATATTTTTATTTGTATGAGCAATATGACACGAGTAGCAGTGTGATGTGGCTGTATATTAGTACTAGTGGGTGGCGTACCAGTGATGATATACAGCCAAATCGCACTGCTATAAGTGTGATAGTGTGTTTATACAACAGTTTGATGGCATGATCCTGTATAAAAAAAGAAAATCAAACACGGAGAGTCTCAAAACCCTTTTGTGAGAGGAACTGTTTTTTTTTTCACCATTCCCTCACATCTGCGGCTGAACTGCAGAAACTAACGTCACTATATAACAGAATAACGTCAAAATAACAGAAGCAGCAGTTATAACTAAAAAATAAAATTCTAACCAGAGCCTACTGTATGAGTCATGTCAGTGTACTGTAACACAGTAAACAAACCTACATGTACATCCGTTCCACTGCCATGCGATGTGCAGCATGAGCGAAACATCAACAAGGACAGCAATCACCTCACTGAGCAGCACCAACAAACAAGACAAATCCATCCATGCCATTCAGGTATGCATTGGAAGTTACAGAACTTGCGTGCCATCTAACTATCCACCCACAGGTTACACAAGTGCTATTTAATTTTTTTTAAAGATGCAGGGTGGGTAGAAAAGAGAAACTTTTGAGAAGTCAGCCTAAGTCCTGGGGATCTCATTACTGCTTAATACATTATCAGTGCCAGTGGCGGTGGAGCAGCCTGTTACAAACACATCCACACAGCATTCTGTCTTTATAGACTTCAGTATGTACACACAGACACACACACACACACACACACACACACACACACACACACACACACACACACACACACACACACACACACACACACACACACACACACACAGGGCACAGTGTCAGCCCCAAAAGTGCTATTTAAGCCACTGATAAGTTCCCTTAGCCACTATGAACAGGGGGCTTGCTGACACAGCACAGCAGAGGTTGCCATTAAAATTAATGTCCTGGGATTAGAAAGACACTTAGGTGGGAATTAATACCAGAGAACATTATGAGAGGGTTAAACATGTGCTATGATGCTAATGAGAGCACCGTTGTGTTTAGTTGAAGGGTTTGTGTGTGTGTGTGTGTGTGTGTGTGCGTGTGTGTGTGTGTGTGTGTGTGTGTGTGTCTGTGTGTGTGTGTGTGTGTGTGTGTGTGTCACTCACTCTCTGAATGACAGAATGCAGGGAAGATGATAGGTTATGCAGAGATACTCACAGCTGGCACTGGTCTCCTTTGACCCCTTTAGTGGTACAGTAGCATTTCCCTGAGCTGGAGTGGCAGACGTTGGCATGGTTGTTACATCTGCAGGCTGAGGAAAAGACAGAAAGGGAAGAAGTGTGTTAAAAAAATAGTTCACTCCAAAATAAATTCTGTAGACAATTATTCAAACGCATGTTGTTTCAAAACTGAAATGCTATTGTCATCACTGTTAATGTAAACTCATTAATATAAACTTTTGATTCCCAACTGAGGCCTGTTCCACAAAATGAGCTAAACAAACTCTGGGTTTACAAAACCAGCATCTCCAAACTGGTTAAAACCAGGTTACAGGGTTTCACAAAGCTTGCTAGAAACTGTCTCTGTTAGCTCAGAGTTTATCACAAAGTTTGTGTTTAACTCTGGATCATATGCACTTGAAAGTGTGACACATGCACATGTGAGACAGCCAGCAATTCATTTCCCTGTTGAAGATTAAGAGATAACATTTACAGAAATATAATGCATTTATGAGGCAGAAATAAACACTGCTGGTGCAGCGAAAGTCTGAGTAGGCAACTTAAAGAAAATATGATTAGATCACGCTAATCAATCCTATAGTTTAATAATTTAGGTTCACAAAGAGCTCTAACGTCATGTATTTAAGCAACTTTATATTAATATTTAAATGTAAATCTTAATATAAAGCCAGGGTTGACATGGTGGCTCAGTGGTTAGCACTGTCGCCTCACAGCAAGAAGGTCACTGGTTTGAGTCCCGGCTGGGCCAGTTGTCATTTCTGTGTGGAGTTTGCATGTTTTCTCAGTGATCGGGTGGGTTTTCTCCAAGTGCTCTGGTTTCCCCCACAGTGAAAAGACAAAATTGCCCAGTATATGAGTGCAGGTGTAAATATGAGACTGCATGCGTGTTTCCCAGTACTGGGTTGCGACTGGAAGGGCATCTGCTGCATACCACATATGCTGGAATAGTTGGTGGTTCATTCTGCTGTGGCATCCCCTGATAAATAAGGGACTAAGTCGAATGAAAATAAATGAAATAATTTAAAGCCATTATTATTAACTAGGGCTGCACAATATATGGTTTCAGCATTGATATCGCAATGTGTCTCATCGCAAAGAAATGCAATGTTTAGTTGACTTTGCTGAGTATTTTTTTACATTTACATATACAAACTCATAAAGCATGCACTGCTTTTTTTTTTACTTTTAGCTTTGCTTTATTGCATACATCAATGCTTGTAGTTTGTTTGTTACATTTTATGCATGACACACTCCCCTGCAGAATCATCCCAATCAATCAAAATTAATACATTTGATAACACTTTAGAGACCAGTTCTCATTATTAGCTAGTTGCTTATTAGCATGCATGTTATTGAAATACTGGCTGTTTATTAATACTTATAAACTACAAATTCTGCTAATCTTATTCTACATCCCTAACCCAATACCCGAACTACCTTGATATCCATTATTAAGAAAATTAAAAGTTTATTAAAGCAAAAGTCATATTAATTATTTGCTGTTAGCAAGAATTTAACCTGACTATATATTTTTTACAAATAGTACTAATCAATCATTTGGTGAAATTTTATAGATAGATTATATCAAAATATATCTGCATATACCTGTATGCCCCTATGTTGACTGCTTCCTGTCTGACGATTCTGTTTAATCAACTTGCGTTTGGATCCGCACTTCCTTTGTCAGCGTCCACCTCACATTACACTTTTAGTCTAAAAAGCTTTAGTTTGGAACAAAAAGACTGGGAGTGGCTTAATGTGTCAAATAAACATGACTTTACTTGCAATCTCTAACCCAAAATAAACCCAAACTGGCTTTGTGCAACATGTCTCTGTACATGCTATAAGGCTTGATGGACTAAAAATATACTTTTTTTAAATTTATATGCGAAAGTAGGAAACATTGTTTACGAGACAGCTTATGTCAGATTTGTTTTGTAATATTTTATTAATATGTGAATTTGACAAGCATTATTTGAGATTAAAATATCATTAAGTAAATAGGATTTAGTCTTGCTTGACTGAAATGCTGCCCAGAGGCATAGTAAATACGGCCACAGTGTGAACTGACTTTTCTTGAGGAGAAAAAAAAAAAAAAAAAAAACTGAACAGTAAGTAACTTGAAACTCTGAGACAAAACATTGATTTGGACTTAACCGACCTATTCATTGAGAGAATCCTACTCAAAGGAATCATTTATTCATAAATAACAAATTAATTTAACACTTTTCTCATGAAGTCTAGTACGTGCAATATTTTCAGATCAAATGTGCCTGTAAGTAGAACTCTAAAGTCTAAATAGGCAGAACACACTTTGCATATAAACAGCAACTATTTTAACAAACCTAAGCCAACATCTCTAGTGTTCCTTTTTCTCATTACAGATGCAATTCTCATTAAAGGTAATCAGACAGTAATTTAAAAATGAAACCACACACGCACACGCACACACAAATGCAGTTTAAGCACTGAGCAGAGACCATTTACTCAACAAAGAGAGAGTTCATTAAGCAGATTAGCATCACTGAGGTGAGGCTCCTAAACAAGACTCTTCTATTCTTTACCACTCAATGACAAACCAGAACAGCACACCTATACAATATGAATAACTCAAGAATACAACAAGAATAACATTAACGTAATGACATAACTCTAAAATGCCAAATCCAAAATAACCATATATAACAGAGCTCTCTGGAACGTTGTATCAGTCATTAAGTATGTTTACATGGACACCAATAATCCGATTTCAATAATATTAAGACAATACTCTGATTAAGAATCTATCATGTAAACAGTGATTTTTGATTAATTTATTCCGATTAAGGTCATAATCAAACTAAACAGAAATCGAATTAAGACATGTGACAATTTTAGTCGCATTATTGAAGTGTAGTACAGACATGTAAACATCGCAATCAAACTATTACCGTCATATAGGACTTTTCATCACATTTTGTGACAGGATATTCTACCCGCATTGCGAAATGCAGAGTTTTTTTCTTTCCATTCATCATGCAGTATCATATTCCATTAAAATAACACTCTTTTAGCAGTTCAAACTTCATACGTGCATCCAATACCTCAGTTTGTTGGGCTGGGGCATGCATATGATCCAATGTTCCTGAATGAAAGTAAAACCGCCAAACGTTCGAGGTTACAGAAGTAACCCTTCGTTCCCCGAGGAGGGGAACGGAAGTGCCATAGAGTGGATGAAATCCATGAATGGGAGGATTCGGATCAGAAGCCGCTTGTCTGGAGAGTATTGAACGGGCCAATGAATGAAATTAATTGGCAGCGTAAGCTTGCGCAGGTGTGCTGCATCGGCAATTGTCCCAGCATATAAGCACACCTGAAGCCAGCAAACGCTATCCTTTTAAGCTGAAGAGACTTTCAAACAGCTAAGGGACAGTCATTATGGCGACGGAGTATAGCACTTCCGTTCCCCTCCTCGGGGAACGAAGGGTTACTTCTGTAACCTCGAACGTTCCCCTTCGGTTGGGGAACTTCAGTGCCATAGAGTGGATGAAATCCACGAATGGGAGAAGTATGGAAAGCGCCATAGTGACTGCACCTTACCAACACCCCCGATGAGGAGATAGTCAAGCAAGCGTGACACACCCACATCATGGGAGGCGCGGTCCTCCAACGTGTCCCTGGCCCTAATTTATCCTACTTCAACAGAAGTTTTACGGATTTAGATATATTTTTTGGGAAGTCGTGAGCATCTAGATAATTCTCGGAAAATACGACAGTACGTTGGGAAGCGTGCAATCCCGATAGGGAGGACGCTGCGGAGGCCATCCGTTACCCAAGGGGGGATAGATGGCAGAATTACATATGGACTAGCCCTAAAAAGGGGGAGTACGCATAGCAAAAGAGTGGTTAGCGGAGAGGGAAGACACGGGTCCACCCAGGGGGGGGACTTAACCGTGGCGGAATAAGCATATGGGATCGCCTAGTGGGGATCACACATAGCAGGCACCTATACCCAAAACGCGGGCTGACCAGCGGGCAGACCTACAACGTAGTGGGCCAGCAAGTGACTCCTCCGCTGAGTCAGTGCCGGGGGCCACGGAGGAATCTGCAGGGCTCATCTGACGGGGAACTTTACTGACAGATAAAAGGGCGCACGTATCTCCGTGTTAGGGAAAATGGCGCAGCAAGTGTGTCTCAACACCCTACCGAGTTGTCTCCTCAATCACCAAGGGGTTACCTAATACCCTTGAGGAAACCGGCTCCACTCGCAGATTGTAAAACCTTGCAAATGTGTTGGGTGTCGCCCAGCCCGCAGCTCTACAGATGTCTGTTAGAGAGGCGCCGCGTGCACGCGCCCAAGAGGATGCAACGCTCCGAGTGGAGTGTGCACGCACTCCCGGGGGACACGGCTGACCTCGACTCGAATAAGCGAGTGAAATGGCATCCACAATCCAGTGGGATAATCTTTGTTTCGATACGGCACTTCCCTGCTGCCGACCGCCATAACAGACAAAGAGCTGCTCAGATGATCTAAAATTCTGAGTACGGTCCACATAAATGCGCAGAGCGCAAACTGGACAAAGTAAAGAAAGGGCTGGGTCTGCCTCCTCCGGGGGCCGCGCTTGCAGGTTCACTACCTGATCTCTAAAGGGGGTGGTAGGAACCTTGGGCACATAACCGGGGCGGGGTCTCAGGATGACGTGAGAGTAATCCGGCCCGAATTCCAGGCACGAGTCACTGACCGAAAATGCCTCCACTGACGGGATCGCCTCATACCCCCTGGCAGCTCCGCCGTCAAGGGCGGTGAGGGCGGAGGTACACGCAGCACGGGCAGAGAAAGGTGCCCTCCAAGACTGTGTGAGCCTACTGTGCACTTCCGGGAAGAAGGGGACGAGAGGCTTCGAAGGCTTCGCCTTCTGGTCCTCTACGTAGCACCCATCTAGTCGGTCCGGCCGCGGAGCTGGGGGATAAACCATCTCCAACCCGACGGGCGAAGCAGCCCGGGAAAGCACGGCTAACATGTCCGCTTCAGGATCCGATTTGACAGCTCTCACCTGCCCGGACGGGGCGAACGGGTCCGGATCTTCGTCTG